TATATATATATATATATATATATATATATATATATATATATATATACATATATATAATTATATATATATACCAAAAGACTAATTTTCTTTTGTATCTTTTTTACAGGCGATGCAACCTTCCGCTTGCAGCCAACAGATTCTTTTAAACACGAACAATCAAACACATCAACCCCAAAATAGTCCCGGCTCACCGAAAGACTCAAACGTTCATAGTCCGCAAGCACTGAGCCTCAGTCCTCTACACAGCCCTATGAATATAGGTAGCCCTTTGTCACCTAGTCGCGGATACATGAAGGGTGACTCAGAAAGGGGACAATATAAGGAACAGAGGAGGGTCGGCCATATTCACGCGGAGCAGAAACGTCGATATAACATTAAGCATGGATTTGACATGCTGCACAGCCTGATTCCGCAACTCAGTCAGAATCCTAACACAAAACTAAGTAAAGCTGCGATGTTACAGAAAGGGGCAGACTATGTTAGACAGCTGAAAGCGGAAAAGAATCAAATGGCCGAGGAAATGGACAACTTGGAGCAACAAATCAAGTGCCTTAAAGAGTCTATTAGGTATGCTCGAGTATTCAAAATTGAAGAGGCTCATTTCCATATTTATTATAATTTCATATTTATATTACACATATATTTTTAAACAATTAGAAGATTAGAAAGTTAAAATTTAGAGGAATTAATAAATTAGGGTATAAAAATTTATAGAATTAGTATTTGGTATAAAATTTTGCATTTATAACATATAATTTACGTTTATAAAAATTATCTTAGGCGATTTTTTTCGTAACTTTCTAATACATAATATTTTTGAAAAGTATGAAATTACACCAATGTGAAAATATAAGCTCTTGAATGAGAAAAACATGAATAATAAATATTATATATAGGAGTAAATGTGAGTGCGGAGCGTAATAATATATAAAAAAAATATATATAACTGTGTATAATATCTCTCAAATGCCTTATAATATAATATTCTTGTAGTAATTGTCAATCTATGCTTCCTGCAACGGGTGCCCCAGTTTCTAGCCATAGAACAAGCAAGATGAAAGAGATGTTTGACGAATACGTGCGTACGCGCACACAAGAGAACTGGAAATTCTGGATTGTATCCTTTTTTTCTCTATATCTCTTTGATACAACGGCTCGGAATGAAATACGCAATGTAACATCTCCGAAAGATCTTCCTTAATAAAATAATTAGTTTAGCATATTATTAGAACCGCTATTGTTGTCCTTTGATGCTTCCGTCTCGACTGCGAGTGTAAACGACTTGAAGAAGAGTACAATATCGTGGGTCGAGCAACAGTGCTCACTCGCCCGCCTTAGGCCAGGTTTGTACAGAGAGCAAAACAATTAGAAAACTACATTCAAGTATCTTCGTTAAAAATACGGAAATAGTAATATAAAACGAAGATATTTTATACTGCTATGTGCGTGGAAAGAAAATTAAATCGCGATTACTATATGTTTCCGATATCAACTAAAATTATCTTAAATTCTCTTTTAAGTGTATCCGATGCTGTAAAAACAAGAGAAAAGTCCAGTGAGAAATAACTCGATCAACGTCAAAATCGTCAAATTATTTCTCACTGGGAGATAATCGATAGACGCCTATATTTATTCTAATTTTGTTAATCAAGAAATTATTTTCAGCTGTTTTGGAGACTCTGAGGCAGCTGTCTACTCAAACTGATATTTTATCAAACCCAGCCCGCCTACCCGAAGAAGCACTTGAAGCGATCAATCAAACGAGACGCCGGTCCTCTACACAGTGACCAAGTGCGCGATTTTGTTGCAACGTTGTTCGTGTTGTATAAAGAAAGTTCAAGATTTAGATATATACGAAGACGGAAAGGATAGTTACCGTATAGTTTAAGTCAGCCTATGCAAGAAAAAAAGAAAGGAAATTATCGAGACCGGTACAGTAGATTTACGAGACGTCGCTTAACACAACGACGCGGGCGAGAATTTAAGTGCAATTCCTCTTTTTATTGCAAAACGTTACGTTGAAGTTCTTAAAAATCTGTCGCGACGGATTATATAAGGCACGTTTTATATAACGTATTTGAATAAAATACACACGTGTATATTACCCATTATCAGTACCACACTGTCATCACTATATATGTATATACACCAAAATATGTACTGATATAGCCATCGATGTGGCCGCGCACAATCATTCGCAGATAATTATTTTATTTTACAATAAAATAATTACATGTGTAGTTTCACATTTATTTCGCGCGATTATATATGCACTATATATCTATATACCAAAAGTCAGAAAATATTCTATAATTACTACCTTTACAATGAATTAAAGAACATTATAGTACTCGCAATGGTTATTTACGCTTATGAAATTTACGTTTATGAAATTTCGTAATATATGATAAAATTTATTCCACTGTTTTTAGAAATGTTTCGTTCAAGTAATAGAAATTTTTTAATTTACAATGATCGTAAATCAATTATAAAGGGGGAATACATGGACGCCCGTAAAAATTCTTTTTTCATAAATAATTAGATTACATCGAGCAAAGATGAGAGATGTCTCAAACATCAGTTATTTTTGTTGTGAAATCACTATGCTGTCGTACTTATACAGTTGTATAAATATGACTAAAAGTTACGTGATATTAAAATATTTCTATGCCACCAATTATATCCTATTGTCAAAGATATGGATCAGTGCCATAAATCATTATTGTTCTGACAGACTGCAGTCCAAGACAGTTGTAAAGGGATAACTTTTTGAAGGATATGGCTTGAGGTATAAAAATACAAGTAACTTTTTAAGACGCAAGCTATCAAACTTGGTGATAGCATTTAATAAATTGCGCTGCTATTGAATTGTCCTACACTGATGCGCCAGCAAAGGAAATTACACATCCATCGATGATTACGTGGACGATAAAAAAGGGTTGCTCAAACACGTAACACTTATGTTCACAACGTTATGCAATATAAGATCTTTAATATGAAAATATCATGTGATAATGTACAAATCATTTACAAAAATGTTTGACTACCGAATAGATCTTAAGCTACAGAGGGCTTCTGTATATTGCAGCGTCTTTATTAACGTCTCTATTAAAATTATATCGAATAATGAAGAAAACAAAACATGTTTAATATTCTGAGTTGTTACATTCTGTTTTTTCTTTTTTTTTTTAATCGTTTTTTTTAATCGTTTTTTTTAGTCGTTTTCATGTGTACTCTAAAATGATTCGTTGTTCAAAAGACTATGCACGATACGATATACAGATGCTCTCATCTGAACTTACAATGTATATGTACATGTGTAAGTGATAGGTAATATAAGTGAACTCAGCGAAAGGGATGTTCTTTTGTACAATATGTATCATATAATCATAAGGACTCATATATTGTTATTACTTCAATGTTACAACATGAAGAAACCTGAACTGATGTATTTTATTTTATTTGTACCCGTACCACATTTGTTACTTTTAATTGTTATTGATGATTATGCCGAGAAATTGTTTGTGGTACAACTGAGTTAGAATATCAATCGGAGTACAAATATACATATGTATATATATATACAATTTCATAAATAGAATTTGTTATATATATAATCGTCAATATCAAAACGTACTTTCTTGAATTTATTTGTATCGAGACAAAAGATGAATCAATGAACATCTCTTTAAATTTAACAAATATTATTATTTTAACATAATCCTACAATTGATTTGCATTGTTTAAAGTCAACAGATAAGTCACAAAATTCTATAATAAAATCAAACGACACTCGTAATTTTTTTTTTTTTTTATAGTCTTATATAAAACTAATTGTAATGAACACATCAAAATTAATTTTTACTACAGATTGCTCTTACAGTAATGAATTTGTATTTATGTTCCACTTAAGATACGTTGATGTATTAATATTCTGCGTTTCTATCAACGATTTTGTTCTTGAAAAAATTAATTGAATGAATTGTAAACAATTAACAAATCAATGCTAAAGTAGAACAGTCGTAGCATACCATGTACAAATTCATATTATTACTTTCAGATATTAACGATATGAATGTTGGTGTTTTAGTACATTTGGCCGCATGTTCACATACACATTTGTTGATTAAATGCTTTGCTTCTTGTGAAGTACGGCCAGCCAACATCAGTCCGCAAGCTGTGCAGGTCAGATAATTGCTTTCCTCGGCTAATACAGTTTTCTGGCATGTTGGACAGATCATACTATTGGTTTCGCGATCAACGAACATCGCCAGATATTCGGTTTCTTCTTGCAAAATTCTATCATATTCTTGCAGCATCCATTGCTCTATATTAAATCATAATATATTAAAGCAACTTCTGTCTGATCCATATGCTTGCAAGCAGCAAGTTTCTGTCAATATAATGTAAATTATTTCAGAACTTATTAATATCAAACCTTGCTCTTGAACAATTTGATCCTGTTGTAACTTGAGTACTTGTTCTTCAGTCAAGATACTATCTATCTCCTCGTTCCTCTTTTCACATAATGGTGTTACTACATGAAGTAATTCTCTACTCATTAATTTCAGCACCTGTATTTCATACAGATTTCTACAGTCATGTCTATGTCTATTGATCTCTTCTCTCAATTTATCTCTTCTCTCCTGTACTTTTTGCTCGCACATCTATGAATAAATTTTATAATATTATTTGCCTACACATAATGCATAATTTAATGAACATAGAGGACTAGTCTTTTAGAGCACTGATTTGAGAATCTGTTTGAAATCAATGTATATCCTACCATTAGGAAAAGAAACAATATAGAAATTGCATGCAGAAAGTAAATACAAACAAACCTGGAAAGTTCACCAATTATCTTTACTTAATTTATACAAAGAAACAAAAATTAAATTAATGTTTTGCAAGTATCATAGGATCTTTTGAATATTATGGCATAAAAAAACAGGTAATTATTTAGTTTAGCTTTTTCACCTCCGATTTCGATGAAAATAGGCTTAATCGACGTGCTTTTACATGAGAAACAACTTTTTCTTCTGACAAAATTGTCGCTCTGCACTGAGTAACGAGATATTAGCCAACAAAGTTGACGGCGCGTTAAGTTAGGACATGCCTCGCGGCATCATGTATATGTTCCGTGCCACATAGAAACAGTGCGCGAATTAGAAATGTATTAGAACATATATAAGTAAAAAAATATTATTGAAACATTAGCATTATTGAAACATTTGCATACGCACTGGGAGTTCAGGGGGCGAAGCCCCCGGTCAAGGGGGGTTCGTGGGGGCTTCGCCCACTATATACTATATATTAAAATAGATACTGAAAAGATAAGCAAGACCCCTACGCAAGATAGAACGTATGAATGGCATGCAAAAACACACACGTGTAACACTATGCGAGATGCATTTTTCTTTTTTTTTTTAGAATATTACTTTTACCAACCGGGGGGGCTTTGTCCCCTGGACCCCCAGTTCGTATGTAAATGTTTCAATAATACTTTTTTACTTATGCATGTCTAATATATTTCTAATTCGCGCACAATTTCTATGTGGCAAGGAGCATGCGCATGATGTCGCAAGGCATATATGTACATGTCGCTACATATCAACGATGTGACACATTTCCTAACCTAATGCGCCATCAACTTTGTTGGCTAATATCTCGTTATTCAGTGCAGAACGACAATTTTGTCAAAGAAAAAAGTTATTTTTCATGCAAAAACGCATCGATTAAGCCTATTTTTATCGAAATCGGAAGTGAGGAAGCTAAACTGGGTAATTACAATTATCTTAAACAATTACAAATTTTAAAAATTATAGTCTATTAATTATAGTTTAAATCTGTTATAGTTACTCTTCGTCTATCCAAGTACAGAATTACAAACTAAATATTTATTATCTGTGACAAAATACAGAATTAACCAAATATTTAAAAAATTAAAATTACTAAAATTAGAATTAACTATTAACAACAAATATTATTTGATTTTTTAGGTTTTCGCGGTGTTATGAATATTAAATTTGGTTTCCGGGTTTGAGCCGTATGGATTCTTTTTTGTCTGATTCCAAAATCAGATAAATAAAGAATCTACATATTTAAACCCGGAAACCAAATCTAAAAAATATTATCTTTCGCACATAAAATGATATAATTTAAATATTACTTCTTTAAGAATTTTAATCTTAATAAATCATTTTATATACATCTACAGAGACCCCATACCAAAAATTCAACAAAATTTATTAATAGACGCAAAGTAAATATTGATTTACTAACCTCTCCTAACACATTACGACACAATCCTTGTCTGATTCTATTTGCGTAATCTCTGTTCCTCAATCTTGTTGTATTTGTGCATGGATTTTGTGCCATGACTTTTATTCTGCCGATAAAATTAAGCTGGATAGAAGAAATATAAATTCTCTCCCGGAAAAGAATGTCAGTCTAATCAGTTTTTTTTCTCCGACACAGCAGGACACCCCGCACGCATGCGCATTACTACTTTAGGGTGCGTTCAGATTCCCTACCCGGGTGCACTCTATTACTAGAAACACTATAGTATATGTTACATATACTATAGCACTTCTAGTATTAGAGTGCACCCGGGTAGGGAATCTGAACGTACCCTTAGATTAGAATTAATCTAATCAAAGTTTGGCCACGCTGTGTTTCGTCACAGATGTCTATACTAAACTAGATTAGGTGTTTTCCAATTGCTTAATACATTTTGACACACACGTACACAAAACCATTTTATTGGTTACATATTATATAAAATATCTTGTAAGATAATATGCAACCAATAAACTGGTTTTGTGTAACACAGTGTACACAACTGGAAAGCACCCATTGCTAACAGGCTATCTAGGCCGCGTTCGCTTTAGGCGCTTACTGTAATCATTAGGGCTATCGCACACAAATTGACATAACTGCATATGCATAGCATAAGATCGTATGGACCAATGAGCATCGAATATTAAGCATCGAACATCAATATGGCGACTTAATACTCGATGCTCATTGGTACATACGGTTTATGCTATGCATATGCAGTTATGTCAATTTGTGTGCGATAGCCCTTAATGGGTGGGACCCGATTAACCACGATACGATTGGACACAGATTGTAATGATTGGTTCGACCTAGTAATTCACTAGATAATTCTTTTCATCGGTTGGTTGTGTTCAATCGTACTGTGGTCAATCGGGACGCTCCCATCATTAATCTGTTTCTTTTAGCTGCACTGCTGAACTAGTGTATAAATTAGAGTGAGAAAAATTATATTTGTCTTTGGTCTGTTCTTTTCAGCTGACTGTTGAACTGTGATGCAATAAGTTAGAGTGAGAAAAAATATACTTGTCTCACTTTAACTTATTACACCAGTTCAGCAGTGCAGCTGAAAAGAACAGAGGTCTTAAAGCTCGTCTACAATAGAAGTTGTAGAGTCATAAGTCGTAGAAGTTAACCAATCATAGTTGGGCTCGAGAAGAATAATCGATCGTGATTGGTCAATTTCTACGACTCTTTAAGACTTCTATTGTAAACGAGCCTTTATTCTCGAAAAATATTGCATACAATATTTCAATAAAAAGCTATAATATACGTCACATGAACTATAGCTTTTTATCAAAATATTGTATGCGATACTTTTCAAGAATACAGCCCCGACCACTCATTTTAATTTATTGCACTAGTTCAGCAGTGCAGCTAAAAAGAACAGACCACATAAGTTTGTTTCTGTTCTTGCACTGCTGAACTGGTGCAATAAGTTAAAGTGAGACAAGTATATTTTTTCTCGCCCTAACCAATGGCTGCGTTCAGAAAACATAGCTGATCAGTGAGCGGTCAGTAATTATTGGTCCTTACTGTTAGATCTCTAACTTTAGACCAATTATATTGACGAATTGCTCAACTGTTGTGCAACTGTTGAGTTCGCTGAACGCACCGAATGGTTCCTGCACACAGGACGCGGTAATGTTTGCCGCGCGACAGAAGTTCGCGCAACAGCCAATCAATATGCTGCTTTCCGTAATAACCTTCTAGCTCTTACGGAAAAACAACATATTGATTGGCTGTTGTGCGGACTTCCGCCGCGCAGCAAGCATTACCGCGTCCTGTATGCAGGAGCCATTACTGCACCAGTTCAGCAATGCAGGAACAAAAAACAAACCTAAAGAGAGAGAAAAATGTTTGATGTTTCGATGCACAAAGCTATTCATCTATGCGTCGGAAACACACACTGTGCATTCTACTAGATGATAGCCGTTGGAGTAAGCGAAATACAAGAGTGATATAAAAAGAGAGGGAGAGTACTCGAGTGACGTTTTCGAACGCAGCCCTACTAGCGGATAATAGCGATAGACCAAATAAACAGTATTCTAGGTTAGGTGTTTGACAATGAATCCTTTAACGTACGTATTTTTCAGTTATAATTTGCGTATAAGAAACATCAGCATTTTGTTAAGTAAAATTAGATACATAGTTTAATAGATATGTAAATAATATATAATTATTTATATATATATATTTTTTTTTAGAAAGAGATTAATAACAATAAATTTTTAGTTTATAAATTATCCATCCATTATATATAATAATGTATAATTTATAATTATACAACATGAAATTTTTTATATTTACAGAAATGTTAAAAATATAAAGAAGCTCAATGAGCAAGAGTTACGAGGCTATAATAAAACATCATGGCATGATCAATATAAAGATAGTGCTTGGATTTTTGTTGGTGGCTTGCCATATGATTTGACAGAAGGTGATGTGATTGCTATCTTTTCTCAGTAAGTTAAAATGAATATATGAATCATAATTATTGTTTATATAGTATTAGATTTCTTTAAAATATTTTTAACACTCTTTAATGTATCTTAGGTATGGTGAAATAGTCAATATAAACTTGATCAGAGATAAAGATACTGGGAAACAAAAAGGATTTGGCTTTCTATGTTACGCAGATCAAAGGAGTACCATATTGGCAGTTGACAATTTTAATGGCATAAAGGTATATTGAAACAAAACTACAAAATAGTAATATATATTTTTTACTTGTTAACAATGTTAAATAAATATTTAGTAAAGTAATAATGACTCACACACATAAGTATATCACAATTATACAGGGTGAGTATAAAGGGGTATTACAAGAGTATCATGCCAATGAGTTTTGCGACACTCCTTTAAAAATTCATCCTGTGGTATCTTTAAATAAAAAATATAATTTACGTCTCTCTCTTTCATTTTTATACATGTGATAAAATTTTCGTGTAAATTACAATGATGGTTCGAAGTATCTTTCAGTGTCAAAATTTGTTTTTCTCTTGCAGATTCTAAACAGAGTGATACGAGTGGACCATGTTGCTAATTACAAAGTACCAAAGGATTCTAAAAACATAGACGAGGAAACGAGAAAGTTGCGGAAAGAAGGTTGTGCTCCAAAAAGATTGAGATGTACATAATCTGTATGTATAAACAATAAAATACCGATATACTTAGACATTTCGAATGTTGTAGATTTATACTTGGTCAGTGGAGTACATAATCAGCTACGAATTTCATTAATTACGATAAATTTGTTACTGCAAGTTAGCCTTTAGTGATTAGAAATTATCTGAGTTTACCTCACATTATTTCTACCATACAAAAGTCTTATTTTTCAATTTGATTATTTTAAAATCCGGGTTTATTAAACTGTAGAAGTTGCTTTTAGGATATGCGAAAGATTAAATAAGCTCCTTACTTCGTACATACGATGGAGACAATAGCATTACATTAATGTCATAGGAGCAACGAGTGTGCTGTCAGTATGATGAGTTGTTATTTTTTGATAGAATGATATCAAGACGAGCCGAATTCGCTCATCCACTTCTCGTATTTTTCCAAGTCTTCTTGGGAAACGCTTTTGTTACATCTCTCGACGGCTTCGTCGAAATCCGCAGCAGACACAGGCAAATCCAATTCCTCTTTCGGCAATTGCCTGATCTGGTCTGGTCTGAGACCAGCAATTTTTTTTCGCATTAACATCATAGAGGCATCCCTAAAGGATTAATGTTGAATAAAATAAACTACGAAATGGTTAAACTATCGCGACTGTCTTTACTTACCTGCAAACGTTCGTAATATCTGCACCAGAGTAACCTTCTAGTTTTCTGGCAATGTCTGTCAAGTTTACAGACAAATCCACTTTAACCTCGCGAAGATTTATCCTCAATAATGCCTCTCTCCCTTCATCTGTAATATAGATTAAAAATAATGAGACATATTTGTATAGAGAGAGAGAATACATATTACAGATTAAGAGTAATGAGATATATTATATTATATATTATATTTATATAGATGATTAGAATATACATTAAGTCTTATTGAAAGAGGAGAGACGTTCGATAAAACTTACGATTAGGTAGTGGAATGTAAATACGTTTCTCCAGACGTCTTCTCAATGCCTCATCAATATCCCATGGGAAATTTGTCGCTGCTAATACCATCACTACTTTGCTAGGATCTTCACTGTTGAAAAGATACACTTGATTTTTGCTTCAGCGTCATTAGGAATCAATAACGTAGAAATAGCAAGAAATATCGCACACGCTTTACCTATTGGAGCTTATTCCGTCCATCTGAACAAGAAGCTCGGATTTTACGCGTCGTGAAGCTTCGTGTTCCGATTCAGATCCTCTTCTGGAGCATAGAGAATCAATTTCATCAATGAAGATTGTACTGGGTGCGTAAAATCTGGCCTGCGTGTGTCCACACGTAATAAAACACAATTAATATCGCATATAGAATTATATTTTCAGATTGAGAGAAGCTCATCTGAGCAAACATGCCGCGAATAATAATTTATTATTGTTTTACCATTTCGAATAACAGTCGGACGAGTTTCTCCGATTCGCCCCTATATTTTGACGTCAATGTAGAGGACGAAACGTTGAAGAATGTTGTGCCGCATTCTGTCGCAACGGCTTTTGCGAGCATGGTTTTGCCTGTGCCTGGCGGTCCGACCATAAGCACACCTTTCCAAGGTCGTCTGATTCCCTAAAAATGTTATATTCATGCTAAGATTACACAAGATATCTCTGTCAATTTCTCTCACAATTGACGGTAGATTCAAGGAAAAAGAAATATACCTTAAAAAAATCTGGCATCCACATCGGGAGCACGACCGCTTCCTCCAACAATCTCTTTGCTTCGTGCAAATCTGCTATATCATCCCAGTGAATATTTGGATTTTTTTGAACGATGTCTCTTTCTGTTATGTAATGATTAATGTATCAGTGACTGTTCGGTTGCTTCTTCTTATATCTTTACATTTATAGCATTTGTATGGCAATGATAATGTTACCTAATATTTCCACAAGATCTTTATCATTAGCAGATGGTTCAAATTTACGTTCCTCCAGTTCAACATCAACTTTTTCCGTTTCTGTTTTGTCCTGCAATTTTAATTTTATATTAAGTCCTGCAGAATTTTAATTTTATACTAATATTTAAAATCATAAGATCAAGATAAGATATGGACAAATTAAAACACCTTGTTTGTATCATCTTTCTTTGTGGTCTTCTTATCGTCTCTCTTGTTAACAATCTTGCTGTCAGACTTTCTAGCTGTAGTCAGAGATTTTCTAGCATTAGATCGATTTTGTTGTTTTTGTTGAACTTTTTGTTGCTTTGAGTTTCTGCAGAAGTAAAATATCATTTGAGACTTCTTCATGATAGAATATATAATTGAAAATAGAAACAAAGTATAATTTTATTGGAACAAATTTTCTCAACAAGACCAGGCATTATCTAATATAGTAATGCAGAATATCTATTTATGATAATGAATATCTACTTATAGTATTTGCATACTTTTGTTCAGCTGGAGTTAAAGGAGGCCACACATCTGGATCTCTACTTGGTGTTTGATTCCAAGCATCTGAATTAGTATAAGACCACAAAGCAGGATCTCGTGTTGGTTCCTCAAATGATAAACAAGAAGTTCCTAAAATTTAAAGAACAATTATATCACCTTTAGAGACTTAAATAACTACATCAAGTTTATCTTAATCAGTTGCAGTACCAACTAGTCTTTCTGCATGTGTATCCACTTTGAAAAGTTGTAATGTATTTGATGTGGCTTTTACTTTTTCAAATTCTTCAGCAATCTGATGCTGTACAACTTGCCACTTTGCCTTACGAGTTGGATCTTCTATAGTTGCGAGTAGCCTGTGAATCTGTTGTACTACACCTTGATAGTAAACGCCAGACGTGTCGTAGTTTCCCATCAATGCCATTTCACGCGCAAGCTTCGTGTTCTCGCAAATTTCGTTTATTGACACAGCCATTATTTCACTGGTCCGGCACCTTCGTACATGAGACAAATGATTGATACAGTGAACACAACGTTTGCTATATTTTCGAGCAGATTTGGCGAAGAAAACCATGAACGTTCTCGCTAAATCCTTTTCAATACTTTCGTAGTGGCGTAAATTCGTCTATCTCATATCAGTGCACATTATTCTCTGTTATAACTGACCTTTGGCGATCAAATTATAGGTTTACATGGTTGTAAGTTAATTTTCGTCGAACTTCTATTGTACATAAATCGGAAGTTCGAACAACAGCGAATTAATAGTTATTAATCCTAAATATACTCGTATTGTGAATCATGAAAGTAATCGCTTTCACCAAAATCGTGCGAAAGCTTTCACTGACTTTCTTTCATATTTATTTAGCTTTTTCGTCGCAGCATCGCGGGAGGTTACGATAAAGTCAACTCACTGACGGGCATAAAATTTTCGAACGTTTAACGGGTCTGAGTCTTGGCTAACTGACTCGTTATTTTCAAAGTTTTTAATACTGTCCTTAAAGTCTAATCTACAATGTGCTTTTTTCTTCCTATTTCTTATTCTGCTTTTTTTTTAGTTAAAGAGTTAAAGATTGAGTCAAAAAGAGATAAAGGCCCGTATTCTGAGTTCTCTTTTAACGACAAACGAACCTCTAAAAGAAGCTTAGGAGCCACTTGATTGGCTGAGAAGCTACATTTAAGGTACTTTTATCGATAAAAGAGGATTCAGAATATGGGTCAAAGAAAAAATAACAGAAAGCAAAGAACACTTTAGGTGCTTTCCAGCTACGTACACTGTGTTACACAAAACCATTATTTATTGGTTTATTGGTTGCATATTATCTTACAAAATATTATAGATAATGGCTGCGTTCAGCAGAGAAAGCTGCTTTGCAACTGTGTAAAATTCGTGAATCTGATTGGTACATGCTCTTGGATTTAACCAAAATTAAGAGCATACTTCAATCAGATTCACGAATTTTACAATAGTTGCAAAGCAGCTTTCTCTGCTGAACGCAACCAATATGTAATCAATAAACTGGTTTTGTGTAACACATTGTAACGTAGTTGGAAAGCATTCTTTCTAAATCAGCGCTTAATGACTGTGGCGACGCCAGTCGTATCCAGCGACGATAGCAAATTCTACCTTTTTAAGCCAGGGACATACGATGCCATGGCTATTAATTCGCTGTTGTTCGAATTTCCGATTTATGTACAATAGAAGTTCGACGAAAATTAACTTACAACCATGTAAGGTGCCAGACCAGTGAAATAATGGCTACTTTCTAATTGCTTAACACATCTTGACACACACATACACAAAACTAGTTTATTGGTCACATATTATCTAAAATATCTTGTAAGATAATATGCAATCAATAAGCTGGTTTTGTGTAACACAGTGTACGCAACTGGAAAGCATCCGATGCTTGTTTTCGTGCTGGATTGCTTGCTGGATGGAAATACTCTATTCTGATTGGTCCGTCTTCAGAAATGCACCAATCACAACAGAGTATTTCCATCCAGCAAGCAATCCAGCATGAAAACAAGCATCGTGCGCCGCTGGCTTTAATCTTCAATCGTCAATCATCAATCGCCAATCGCCAATCGCTAGTATGATACGGGCTTTAAAGGCCAAATCACACTAGCGATTGGCGATTGACGATTGACAATTAAAGATTAGATTTTAACGAACAAGCTTCAGCCTTGACTTATTTTGTTCCAATTGGTCAAGTTCCAATCTTCAATCGTCAATCATCAATCGCCAATCGCCAATCGCTAGTATGATACGGGCTTTAAAGGCCAAATCACACTAGCGATTGGCGATTGACGATTGACAATTAAAGATTAGATTTTAACGAACAAGCTTCAGCCTTGACTTATTTTGTTCCAATTGGTCAAGTTCCAATCTTCAATCGTCAATCATCAATCGCCAATCGCCAATCGCTAGTATGATACGGGCTTTAAAGGCCAAATCACACTAGCGATTGGCGATTGACGATTGACAATTAAAGATTAGATTTTAACGAACAAGCTTCAGCCTTGACTTATTTTGTTCCAATTGGTCAAGTTCCAATCTTCAATCGTCAATCATCTATCGCCAATCGTTATAGCTTCTGCACACAGGACGCGGCAAGCGGGAGCAGTGCACTTGGACACAGCCAATCACAGCACCGTGTGATTAGAGACATTTGTAGGGTCCCTTAGAACAGCGACTTGTGATTGGACTGTGTCCAATTGCTCCGTGTCCAACTGATATACACCCGCGGCAAGCATTACCGCGTCCTGTGTGCAGGAGCCATTAGTGTGATTTGGCCTTTAGAGATACAGTTCGCTGTCGCCGTTGGCGGCGCTAGATACGGACTGGCGTCGTCACAATGACGAATTGAGATCACAGTACGACTACACGGTTGATCAGACGGATTTTTATTCTTCAGTGATACGGCTAGATAGTTGGTCAGGCAAACTTTCTTTTCAATTCAACGATAACTGACTTGGTATAAATTGTATTACTAAAAGCAAAAGTCAAAATAGGAGGAGCTTCTTCTAAGCAATTTTACTCAACAATTTATACATGATATACACATAGAAGCTATATGCTAGAAAAGTTTACTAAAAAAAATTAATGTTAAATTAAGCAAATATTTAATTGAAAAACTTCACATAGATAGTCAAATTTGAAAATATCGAAAAGAGATTCGACTTAAGAAAAAAAGAGTTCGACTCATCGGCATCATAATATCTGACTGATAGTGTCAAGGTCCATATCTGCGGACTCTCACTTTGAAATCATATGCAAAAAGCCGTTAGGCCCGTTCGTGATTGGTTTCTCATTTGGAAAGTTGAACGCCTTGAATACCATGATGTAAAACATGACCTAGCATTATGGTGATTTCGTTCAAGGAATTCTATTACAGCACGACATGTGACATGTGTGCGTGTTTAGCTCCTCGTTTCGATTTTCATGTTAATTCTATTTCAATTTATTCCCGAAGTCACCGGTGTTATCGGAGATATTATTCGTCAAAAAAAACGTTCTGATGTGTGCGCAACGTTGTGCTGGTTTTGCTAAGGAAAAATAAGTATCGCACTTCGTTTCTCTTCGCAGTCAGTCACTGTTTGGCGTTCGAACAGGCAGTACGGTTATTATGATAAGAGGACTGTGCAGAGGATTGTACAGCGTCGTGCAGAAGATGAACGCGGCTACATGGAATAGTTATGCAACTGCACAAATAGCACCATTGCAGAGAGCCGCGCTGGAGGAGCGTTGTATACTTGTGGATAACCTGGACAGACCTGTTGGCGAAGCCACCAAAAAGGCCTGTCATGAAATCAACACAGAAGGAGATGTACTGCTTCATCGGGCGTTCAGTGTTTTTCTGTTCAATAGTAAAGGAGAACTTCTACTCCAGAAGAGGTCCAAACATAAGGTTAGATTGGTAGTATTATTGTCATTATATCAATTAATGATTAATCATAAATAGGAACCATACCGTTGCTATACTTATATATGTGTGAAGTCATCAAGTAACAAATATTAAATGATTAAACATTATTTCATTACATTTGGCTTTATTTGTAGATAAAGTTTATTTGTCACTTAACATTAAATTTTAAAATATCTTTGTTGTATTTTTTATATTAGAGGAAAATATGTAAGAGATAAATTATGCATATGGTTGAAAGGAATAAATATTATGATCAGCCAACCTTCTCTCAACCATGCAATTTATTCCTTACATATTTTCCTCTAATACAAAATTAACCAAGATATTTTAGAATCTAATGTCATATAAATCAATTGTATGGTTGAAAAGATTGACTGACCACAATATTATTCCTTCAAACCACAACAATTTATTCTATATTTTCCTCTAATATAAAATCAACTGAGATATTTTAGAATCTAATGTTATATAAATAAATTATGTGATTGAGAAAATTGACTTTTCTGATCACAATATTTATTCCTCCTAATTACAAAATTTATTCCTTATATATTTTCCTGTAATATAAAATCAACCGAGATATTTTAGAATCTAATGTTAGGTAATCCACTTTGAATATTATATAGAAATACCATCTATTCTTTATATTAAAACATTTTGATACCTATCTATCAATTTATATATAATATGAATGTTGTGGAAAATATATGCTTGTATAATAAGGATTCATGTTACATACAGATAACTTTTCCGGATCACTATACCAATACCTGCTGCAGTCATCCACTTGCAGAGATACCCGGAGAAACAGTAGAGAAAGATGCCATAGGTATCCGTAGAGCCGCAGTGAGACGCCTCAGTTATGAGTTGGGCATCCCCAGTACAGAGATTCAGCCCTCTGAGTTATTTTATCTGACTAGAATCCACTACAAAGCAGTCAGTGACAGTCGTTGGGGTGAGCACGAGATCGATTATATGTTGTTCCTTCAAAAGGATGTCACCATAGATCCCAACCCTGATGAAGTGAGCGAGGTTCGATGGGTGCCTAGACGGGAGATCGAAAATTTTGTGAAGACTGTAAAATCGCCGCTAACGCCGTGGTTTCGCTTAGTTTTGAAGCATAAACTGTTGCATTGGTGGGACAATCTGGACACTCTCGACAAGAGGCAAGATGTCGATAATATAACTGTGCTGTCGTGACGCACGCAAGTTTTGTCACTGTGAGAAAAGCACATGATTGAACAATGTTTGGACAGATTGCTAGATGATCTGTAGATAATCAATTCATTCGTTCGTCAGACGTTTCTGTACAGTTATGATTCATGTTATAACCTGAAAATAATGACATTAGATCAGTATGCAGGAGTTGTTCTTGTAATTATATTTTTCTAATTCAAGTTTCTTTTATACATGTGAATATTTTAAAAAATTGTGTGTACAATTTGGGCGATTGTGGAAAGAAATATAAATATATTTGTATATATAATATATATAATAAATACAATATATATATATATATATATATAAAAATCCAATAATATATATATAATATATATAAATATATATTATATGTTTATTTATATTATATATATTTATATATGTATATGTTATATATATATTATATATATGTTATTATATATGTATATATTATATATATATTTATATATTTGTGTAAGTGTGAATATATGTGCTTGTGTAAATAAGTACATGTTATTTTCGATGTAAGAGAAATTTGTGAAATTTTTGGCTGTGTTGCTGGATGTTTGTGAAACATATTTCTGACATTTCGTTTTCACGTACATGTTGCAATTAAGAACATCTTGAGAAACATGTACTGTTAAACATAATCAGTTATATGATACGAAATACACATGTAACGAAATACATATGTTTCTGATTATAATTCGCATTTCTTGTTTTTGCCTCTTGTAATATCTTCCATGCCGATATTTTGCGTCATTCCGAGCTAGTTGCACAATTACATCGTACATCTTTTTTGCTAGCGGTTTTTGGGTCCATATGTTTTAGTTTCCTGCGCGAAGGTTAGTCGTTGTCTGTTAACGTTTTCTCCTTTCCACGCGATCACTGATCTACATTCGCCGCGTTCTTTCTAGACCGTAAAGTACACTTGGCTAATTAAAGGTTACAACACATTTCTCATTAAATATTGCAACATGTTTCATATACAACAGGAAAATATATCTCTTAAGAATTACTGAGAAACATTCTCGTACTGACGTACGGAGTGCGTCACGAAACTTATCGAAGTAATGTGTTGTAGCACTTAATTAGCCAATAGTATTTTTATCACTTTGAATGAACGATACTTTTGCAGTTCTTTTGTAATCGTTAGATATGTGATAGTAATTATGTATGTACAGTTACGGACAATAAGGTTAACTGGTTTCAACTTCACACATTTCACTTCCTCTCTTATCTCACTTTCAGTTAGGACATACTCAGAAACTGAATCGCGTGAAGCTGGAGTCAGTCAACCTTATTATTCGCAACTGTACGTGTTTACCTAAGATATTTGACCAGATGTAATAATCGATTTGCGCGTCGTATCTATAAATAATATCAGTCGATTCTATTGTAAAAAAAAGACAAGCGACAAGAGAGAAAAAGAATAAAAACGGATTTCAAAATGCTCATGTTTTCAATCGCGACATTCAGAAATCTGAAGCTTTACAGAAGAAATTCTTGTCAATCGTTTATATCAGGTCGGTTAAAAAGTTGAGCTTGATTTCTGAATGATTTTTGAGATTTTTTTATCAACTCACAAAATTTGACTTTTTATTACATTTAATGAAAACAGATTATTCCATAACTAAATACTCGTCGTTGTTGTTTGTGAACTTTTGTCAATATTTTAGCAAGAGAACATTATCAGTACTGTTATCAGTACTCCGTTATCAGTATTGCTACAACATCACATATGTTTCCGTGACGCTGTCATTGTAATTAACTACAAAAACATGCCATTGTTTTAACATTTAACAAATATACTAGTATACACAGCGTAATCAAACTTGTACAAAAAGGCAAAATTTTCGATGAAGCTGCTTAAGCATTAAAATCGGATATCCAGTACTAAATTATATGTTAGTTATCCCGTAATTCTGATATAATTCTGCTCGTGATCTTCGCACACGCATCTCAATTTTTATACGTTCCGATTTACATGTATAACCGTCAGTGGAACGATTAAGGCGAGTTACAATTTTATGAGTTTCAGAGGAAAGCTTTTCTCACGACTTTCGTCTGTTCCAAAATATACCGAAAAGACACATGCTGCGATCTTTTCCCATCTTTTAGATAGGATGAAAAAATAACGCTACATTTACACGGGTGAGAGCGGACATTGCGTCCTGTGATGCGAATATTCTATCGCCACCGAGTAACTGAGAATTCCGTCGTAGAGAGATCTCGCTCGAATTCACGAAGCACGAATTCAAACGCTCTTCATCCCTATAATATATGCGATGTGTTAATTAAAGCGTGGGAGTATCGTACGTGCAGCGAATTTTTGCATGTCCGGGTCACGAAACGAAACGAAATGAAACGCCACGCGACATGTGCTTAAGTGAGTCGCAATCGCGTTTTAACTGGCATTTTTCGTGTTTACCTTTGCTTCCCCGGCAGCGGCGTGTAATAACGACGCGCAGTTTCTTGCATGTTCCTTACCGGTCACAGCAAGGTGAAAATAAATCTTGACACGGACACTTCCGTCAGATCGCCCATTATCCTGGTCTGGTTCAATCGGATGAAAGTGTGTAAAGTCAAGAAAGTCGATCTCACTCACGAGTACACTCGCATGTATACATACGTATGTTGTTCGCTTTGATAATGCTAGCTATCTTTCTTATGAATTGTGTATTGACCTAATGAGAATGCGTACATGAAGTTTTCCGGGTTAAAACCGTCCATGGTACTTAACAGATTTCGATATTAAAGAGAGACAATTCTAATCGAATTTTCTAATTGGCGAATTTGCTATTCTATTTCTTGCTATTATCCGTACGAGAGAAAAAGAGAGAGGCAGAGAGAGAAAGAGAGAGAGAGAGAAGGAGAGAGGAAGGGAATAAGAGGAAGAGGAGGGAGGGAGGAAGAGAGAGAGAAAGATTAAGTGTCATTGTAAAAAATATGAAAAAATAGACGATCGATCATCGATGTTTAGATATAGATTCGCTAAGTTTAGATATATGAAGGATACTACCAAGAGTTATCACTCGACAGTTGCAATCAATGGACCTACATCGGACATATGTGAAATTTTATTAGTGAAGTTTAATAGTATTAGGATAAAACACATTTATTCTTTTAATTATCGACACTCGAGAAAAACTTGATCTTTCTTGTGACCAGCGTTGCAGTTAAACTTCTTGCCTGCACTTTACGATTTCAAGACAGAATTAAATAAAATCAAATAAAAAAGATATAATTGTGAACAATCGTCACTGGGGTAGAAAAGGTGTATGCAAATTAACACAAGAAAAAAATCAAGTGATCGTATTGATGTTTATTTAATATAATGATTTGACTTTCTTTCATCTTTTTGCTCTATAAATATCTACATGTACATAAAATTGATAATATAGAATAGAGGATAACATTGTCGATACTTTTTTTACTTTCAGTCAAGTGAAAACATTTTTTCATCGAAGCTCCCCTGATAGCCAAACGTGCCAAAAGCAAATTTCGGCAAAGCGTGCTGCAAGTTTTATCAACAGAATAACGACAAGTATCAACAGAATGCCCTCAAGTAATTTTGGCATGCTTTGCCAACATAATGCCAGCATAATGGTAGTATACATGCTGCAAATTTGCTGCAATCCGATGATTGATTTTGCCAGCAATTTGTCAGCATATTGCTGACATTTGCTATCAGGGTCGTTATTCATGTTGGTATCCATTCAATTCTGCCCGCTTAGCAAGTGATACGAATTAAAATTACTTTTAATTGACTTTTACGTCTCACGTGTTAAAAACCGAACTTCTTGTGGCTGACCCGATATTTCACCCGCTCTCTCCACAGAGTGACCGTATTTGTCACATTCTATAATTAACCTCCGGAAGGACAATGATGAAGCCTTCTCGGAGAGGAGAACGTTACCTTCCTAAATTCTACATGACCGTATTCCGCACGGTCGGCCTGGGGAATTAGATAAGTAGGGAAAATAGGATGTAAGATGAGAAGCAACCCAGTTTAAACTACGTTACCTCCTTCATTGTCGTGGTCATTAGTATATCTTCCCTTCTCCGCTCTTTCCTTGCGCGTTGTCCATTTACAACTACGTGGGTGGACTATATAAACGTATTTACACCATCTCCTTACTCTTCTGTACGGAAGCTTGGAGTCAATACACACTGTGCACGCATAATGTACGTTTCGTCCTTGGTTCGCGCGTACGTTGTCGCCGTGTGACGTGTGGAAAAGAGAAGAAAGGAAAGAAAGAGTGCAGGGTGAACTTGCATTTCGCGATATTTCCGGAAATATTTCTTCTAGAATCGAAAATCGTCGCGAAGATGCCACATACGACGGTCGTTCGAAGCAACGCACTCGTTCTGTGGTGTATTTTACTGTTCGGAAATGCACTGGGCTTGTACAAATCGGCGCCGCACATAATCGTCTTCATGGCTGATGATTTGGTGAGACACTAGTGACGTTGCAATTGTTCATTTTTCCGGAATAAGTAAGGTAAAAATTAAGAGAGGGAGAAGGATATTTTATCCTGATAGAGAGGTTCTTAAGGTGTCGGTTTTGTCATTTATGGATTGCCTAGCATATCGCTACCTGTGATATCTTAAATTATGAGCCATATATTCGTATAAATTCGTATAAATTATTGCACACTAATTATATGTCAATATCTGTCATTATCTGTTGAAATGTATCGGCAGGAATTCAGTTTCCGAAGATACGAGACTTCAATGCGCTCGCGAAATAAAGTGTTACTTTTACAATCGTTCATTAAAATCATTAAAATGTCTGTTTTATTTTCTGTAATGTTATTTTCATTTTTATCATTACGAAGATTTTACAAAGAGTCAAATTAATTGAAAGGACAATAGAATTTAAAAACAATTTGTTATTTGATACTTAAGCATTTAAATCTCCACATACAGCTAGAGACGCGAGAAGATATTTCAAAATGGTTCTGAGAAATTAAGTGTTAAATCTTACAGAAGATCTATTCTTCTTTTAGCTGAACTATTTGAACAGGTGCACACGGGTACAATAAGTTAGAGTGAGACAAATATATTTTGTTTCAATCGAATTTATTGTACCAGTCTGGATCAGTTCAGGCGATTTAGCTAAAAAGAACAGACCTGTAGATAAGACGAAGTCCTCCTTTTTAAAATTTATTCCATTATTTCCATTGTTTGTTTCTTTTTTTTCTATAATGTATCGAGACATCCGCGGAGACGGTAGTTCGAAATCATACTTACGATTGATATAACTGCCGTAATACATTACTAACATTTACCTTGTCCACTTAATTCGGCCCGATTAGCCCATACGAAAGTATCTCGAATTAAAATTGTCCTTAGTTAAGTCAATTATCGTAGTACACGTATAGCCCACGCCTCAACGCGATCAACAAGTACGCCGTGAGTTATGACTCATTCCAACTCCGGCGAATAATAATTTCCTACACGTTAATTATAATTTAATTCGATCACGTAATTCTGTCGTCACTGGACGTCCGACATGTGTATGACCGTACGCATTTTTACTAATTGGCTTTTATTTCGGAAGGACACCCCGCGCTCGCGTCAATGTATAAATAGTCTCGTCGGTAGAGAGAAAATATTGCAGTAGATGCTTCCTATGAGAAAATCGGATCGTCGATACGTCTTAGGGAACGACATAGCCGATTATTGATGTGACGCGACGAAGTAGCTTGAAAATAATATTCGACGTTTTCAGGGGTGGAACGACGTCGGTTTCCACGGCTCGAATCAGATACCAACTCCGAATATAGACGCCCTGGGCTATAATGGAATTATACTGAATAGGCATTACGTTTTACCGTCCAGCACACCTTCTAGAGCCGCCTTCTTCACCGGGCTGTATCCGATACGTATGGGTACGTGTCGATTTTCCATTCCGCAGTGGCGACGATATCGTGAAACGATATTCTTGTACCAGCACCCGGCATAAACATGATTGAAAACCAATTACTTTGTTTCTGAATTCTGAAAGAAATTTTATATTTTGAATAAGCTTCCACAAGTTTTTCAAACTACGCTTAAGTGACAACGTCACTTAAGCGTCCCGTAAAATTTGTGTTCGAGGAAATACTTTCATTAGAATATATTTGGCTAAATGAATAACATTCAAGACAAAACGAAAACTATTTTTCGAAAATTAAATTCTCCTTGTTTTTTCGTTACTACGTTTTTGTCACCGTATATGAAGTACAACGTATATTTTATACGTTGTGACGTGTCCCGCGTAGGTATGCAGGGAGAAGGTATACGGGGTGGCGAGCCCAGAGGACTACCTCTCAATATAAAGATCTTACCGGAGTACCTACGAGGCTTAGGATACACGACGAAACTGATCGGGAAATGGCACGTAGGTTATCACACGCCTCAGCACACGCCCTTGCATCGGGGTTTCGACGCTTTCCTCGGCTTTTACAATAGTCACGTTTCGTACTATGACTATAAGTACTCCTATCAGGTACAGTACTTACACGTCGCAACTATTTAACACGTTGATCTCCATGTTGGATTCACGTGTGAATTTCATCAAGCCCGAACTTTCGGTGTGTTAATGACATCTTGTTTATTTTCTATTTGATATTCTTCTAAATACTTGGTAAAATCATCTCTAATTAAATAAATAAAACGTCACACACATATAGGCGACAGGACTTCTACGAAAGTTTACATATCATTTTAATATGTGACATTCTGACATGGCGCTCAACGTGTTAAAATGTGGATCCCCAGCTAACACAAGACATTCTCAGATTATAGCAGATGTGTTCAAGATGTTTTAGAATATTTTTCCCACGAACATATTCGGTAGTGCTGAAACATCCTGCGCTATCTGAGTGTTCAGCTTGCAACGTCCCTAGTAGTACAGTTCATTAGAGCAATTACAAAAACAAGTAGTACAGTTCATTAGCTACAAGTACAGTTCATTAGAGCAATATTAGCTACAAATTGGGCCTCAAAAATATCTAATATTGGCCTAATATTGTAAAGTAAACGTTTTATTTTATAACCAATATAGATATAGAATTCTGAATATTGGCAATTCATTTGTTACCAATATTAACTGCATATTAAATTATATTGGTCCAGTGTATCCCCAATATGTATCAATATTCAATTGACAATTTATTCACATTTTATTTATAACCAATATTGGCTATATATAGGCTATATATTGGTTATATTGGTCCAATGTATGCCAAATGTAACCAATATTGGACCAATATAACGCCAATGAACTATGCTATTAGGGATTTCGATTTTATGCCGTTATATCTCGTCACTGCTAATTAGCGCATTGTTAACATGCCAGAATATGAGCGGATATGATATGCACCGTGACGACAATCCGGCTTACGGTTTGACCGAGGGATACGCGACGGATCTGTTCACCGACGAAGCAATGAGGATCATTCAGCAGCACGAACCATCTCGACCTCTCTATCTCCAAATCTCGCATCTCGCCGTTCACGCACCTCTTGAGAGCCCGGACGATTATCACCGTAATCAAGACGAAGAACAGTTCAAGCATATCCGAGAACTGAATCGTCGCAAGTATGCTAGTAAGTACGATCGTGTTTATCGTATTATATAATATTCATGGACTTAGTTGTACTTGACGCTATAATCCGTCCGATAACAAGAATAATTCGCATTTTAATAACGTTAGTGAGAACTCAGTAATATATACTCTCACGTAAACAGTATATATATTTCAATTACTTTTAATAAATTCTAACAATCAGTAATAACTTTCGATCAATTAAAGATCAATAATAACTAACAATAATAAGTTTTAATTATCAATAATAACTTTTGATAATCAAGATTATTTTAATATCAAAATCGGGTCAGAGATCAGAATTTTTCAACCTTTTGCGTTCCAAAGATGTGCCTCTCGAAAAATTTCTTCTGTTTCACCGTTATTTCTTTCCTTTCGTTTCTCTTTTCGGGTTTTAAATCTGAATCTAAACTAATCATTCCACTAGTTTTACAATTTATTTAAAGTCCGAAAGACTTTCTTTCTTTCTTTTTTGAATTTTATAAAAAATTTTGGATAGAGAGAGAGAGTGCAAAGGACTACACAGATCCTCTCGTCGATATCATTATCTCCTGCGTTTATTAGGAATGGTGTGGCGATTAGACGAGTCCGTTGGACGCATTGTTCACACCCTGGGCGACCGCGGAATGCTGAGGGACTCGTTGATCCTTTTCCTCACCGACAACGGCGCGGCGCCCATCGGCAGGATCCGCAATTGGGGCTCCAATTATCCCTTACGAGGCGTGCGTATCTTACAATTAACGCACCGTTCTTTTTGCATGACCTAGTCGCGTTCCGCGAGTTATACTTTGATATTTCGTATATTTATCGTTGCGACAGATGAAGTACACGTTGTACGAGGGAGGTGTAAGAGGAGTCGCCGTACTTTGGTCGCCAAGATTGCGTAAGGCAGCGCGTGTATGCAACAACCTGGTGCATATAACCGACTGGTTGCCGACTTTTTATTCAGCTGCTGGTGGCGATCTGAAGGATTTAGGGGAGATTGACGGACTCGATCAGTGGCGGATGTTGAGCGACGACTATCCCGAAATTAGGCAGAAGCTGTTGTTGAACATTGACGAGGTATCCAAGACTGAAGGCGCCATATACAAGTCGTTCAAGCTGCTTAGAGGTATTATTTCATCCTTATTCGAACTGTTACGTAAAACGATGATACAAAATATACGCGAATGTGCCGTAAAAACGAAATTTTTATAAGAACCGAGAAATAAATTTTATCCTAGCGTGACTTAGCGGGTTGTCAGATGAATAAATGTGAAACATGAATTTTATTTTGACTTGAAAAATATCGTGATGGAAGATGAGAATTTTACATCAAGCTGGACTCGCATGGAATTTCTAGTTTCGCGAAACTTTGATTCTTTTTGAGAGTAATCAAATAAAATATCGCGTGTATCTTATTCGCATTGATTCATGACTTTGTATCGGCGACGATATGATTTCATGTCCTTAGACTTAGGAAGAATCTGTGTTTCAGGTTCAATCGAGGGCGGACATTATGACGGATATTACGGCGACACTATGAGATATTTGCCCATTGTCCGGAAGAATAAAAGCGAACAGATCGAAGTCCATATACCGTATTCCGATACTATTTTGAAGAGTTCGGTGTCGCAGAGTATTACTTACCATCTAGGTGGCCCTGTTACGCAACCTAGCACGATGAATCAATTGCGACTGGAGGCTACAGTCTACTGCTACCGCAACGTCAGTTACTACAATAGTTTTACTACTTGTAACGTCACCGAGTGTCTCTTCGACATTAACAATGACCCCTGCGAAACGAAAAACATTGCTCAGCAATATCCAAGGGTGAGCGAGGCCAATCTAAATATTGAATAAAACATTAATGAATTGTCACTTTTGAGAATACTTCACTCGAGAGCTTGTTGGAATTTTTTTATCTCTTCTTGAGATCGAGTGATCCCATCTATCACGCTAAGATTATCTATCGTTGAAAGCATCTATCGCAATTCGTTGCTCGCAATTTTGTTCCGATATTAAATTATTAAGTTCTTCAAAAATATAAATATGTAATGAACGAACACTTATTTTGCTTATATTCCAATCTTCGAATTGAAGAATCGAATTGCATTGCGTTGTGTCAGTGAAGAAATTCGATATTAACTTAACACTTGAATATAGCTTGAGTTTTTATCACTTCAAGAGTCAGATTGAAGTGTCAGCGAGACACGTAGCAAGGTTGACGTCTTTGTACATCTTCTTCTTCTGTTGTTCTCGCAGATCGCCCGGGAATTGGATCTATTTCTGGAGCAATACGGGCGCAATGTCACAAGACAGGTTAGGGTACCGGTGGATTGGCTGGCTGATCCGAGGAGGACGAACGGCACATGGGAGCCGTGGATGGCTCCCGGCGAAATGTTCTACACATACAACACGGCGACCCACTTGATCCATTTGGCATATTGCATTCACATTGGGATTATTCTAGCGACAGTCGCGTGGAACGTTTTTATTTGAATAGTTTGTAATAATATGTGAATAATACACCCGGAGAAAAGGAAACTCGCGCTGACGAGAAATAATATCTCTGTTACCACGACGGAAAACATTTGTCTGAAGATACAGTTACATTAAATCTCGGCTGAAGTAATTGAGAGAGCACTTGGCTGAGTAGAAACTCCTCCTACCTCCTACGATCTTTCTGCTCTTACAATCGAATTTCTCGTCTGATCACCAGAGATAACAGAAAATTTAAATACGCTAATAGTATTGTTTTTTTTTTCATGTACAATGAGAAAACTCGATTGACAATTATTTGCCGAGTAGTTGTCGTGGAAACATTTGGAACTTCAAATGTTAACGATCGAGCCTTAAATTTAATCTTGAATTTTAAAAAATATCATAGTTTATTCTCTCTCTCTCTCTCTCTCTCTCTCTCTCTCTCTCTCTCTTCCTTTCTTCTTTTCGTGATTAAAATTAATTAGTATTGCGAATAATACATGTTACAATCATGTACAGGCATACGGGCAGTAATATATGCCACAATTATATATTACAATCCATGATGCAATTTCTCTTTTATTACGTCAGAGTTACATCTTTTTCTAGCTTTAACGTGAACTAATGTCCATCTCAACATTTTTTTTCTTCATTAATAAACAACTCCAAAACATAGGAAGGACCGGGATTAGTTGACTACCGGGGTAAATTGGCAAACTCGATTATTCCTACTGTTCTTTAACAGATTTCAGAATTGAGCAAGCAAGGATTTCAAAGCTACCTTTGACATGTTTAAAAATCTTGCTTGCTTAATTCTATAACTTGTTAGATAATAGCAGAAATAATCGGTTTTGCCAACTTACCCCAGTAGTCAATTGTCCACAGCCTTTCCTACGTATCGAATTAAGTCTTATAACGCGAGTTCCACTCTCGATCGACTTTGTTATTATGTAGTCGCTTTTTATGAATTTCAAGATTAGAATAGTAATCGCGATTTTACTTCCGCATTTCCTGCATGCGTTTGAAGAAATAATCGGTTTTGTCAACTTACCCTGAATCAGTTGCACTGAGAAAAAAGCGGTTGGATTGACAAAATCGGCGGTCACCGCATCGAGAAAAAAATGTTTGGTATTTCTAACTATAATCATATAGAGAAATAATTACAATAGATTATGGTCAAAACAACTATTTTTTAGCAAATTGTACTATAATTGTAGTGATAATAATCTTATATGCATGTTACTACTACTATTTTCGTGTTGGAACAACCAAAAAATATAGTTGTGACCCAATTTAACCTCAACTATATTTTTTTATTGTTCCAACATGAAAATAGTAGTAGTAACATGCATGTAAGGTTATTATCACTAAAATTACAGTATAATTGACTAAAAAATGGTTGTCTTTACCATAATTTATAGTAATTATTTCTTTATATGATTATAGTTATAAATACCAAACATTTTTCTGTTAGTGCGGCCATCAAAGAAATATTGGGTTTATTCAACAAAATACATGTTAATACAACAATAAATTGCGTTGATATAGTAGATTTCAACACAACTTGTTGTTACATTAGCATGTATTTTGTCGAATAGATCCAATTTTCTTTAATGGCTGGTGACCGCCGATTTTGTCAATCCAACCGCTTCTTTTTTCATTGCAGTCTCGGTCTCCGTTACGTATCGAATTAAGTCTTACAACATGAGTTTTAAGATACTTTCGATCGACCTCGTTATTATGTATTCGATTTTTTATAAACTTCCAGATTAAAGTAGTAATAGCTATTTTACCTCCGCATTCCCTGCATATGTTTGAAGGAAACATTGTGCAATTGTAATAAGTTGCGTGATATTTCAAGTACAAAAAACTTTAGACGAATAAATTACAAAGTGCAATATAAGTAAACGTTTAATTGGAACCAAGTCTTAACATTTTGACGAGGTAATATTGATTACGATAAAATGCAAATTTTGCACATCACTACGGAATTACGCGAATCTCTTTTTGCCGCAGTTTTTCATTCACATTAATTTTGTACACTTACCGTACCTCACAGTCATCAAACTGGTCGTAACTGACTGAGCACCGTTGGAGAGACACAAACGAGAGACGATAGATCCATCTTTTCAAATGCGATTTATTTTCAACATTGTCAGGTTTGTTTGCTTTTTTGTCATGTAAACCGAGAAAACTAGACGTAACGCAGGCCCGAGTGTAAAGATGACCTTGTATCTATTAATGTATCTATTAATTTTAAAACAATGTTTATATTAGAACTGAATATTGCCGTCGTGTAAGCAGTAATACGTAATGGCTTTCCTCCGCGTATTTTTGCGAAAATATTTTGTAAGAAAAGAAAGAAAATATCGAACTTTAGAAATTACTTGATATAATAGTGAATTCACATTCCTTTCGCATTCAGAACACATAGTGCGACCTCGATAAGGAATGTTAGACATTTAAACCAGGTTGACCATAAAATATACGAATAAACCTAGATTCAAACCTGTTTTCCTTGTTAATCGTATAAGTCGCACTGTTAAATACAACCACGACAAGAAAATCTAATCCTTCACCAAATTGTTCCTTATTCAATTACTATGAATATCGGAGTGCTACAGAATCATCCTGATGTTTCAGGTTTGGATCTTACTTTGGCTTTTGCCGAGCTAACTAATTATGATAAAATTAAGTTGCGTATGAGCATAAAATACATTTACTTTACCGTCGTCAAACTAGTCGCAACTGACTAAGCACCGATGGAGAGACACAGACGATAGGCATTAGATCCATTTTTAACATGTAATTTATTTTCAATGTTAGGTTTATCTGCTTTTTTGTCATGTAAACATAACACAAAATTAAACGTAACACAGGCTCAAATGTGAAGATGACGTCAATATACCTCTTATGATTAATATTTTATTATTATTAACGATGATGTTTTGTATAATTAATAACACACACACACACACACACACACACACACATATATATATATATATATATATATATATATATATAATTAGGCAATAACTTATAACGTTCTAAGAGTACATAATGAATGTGTACATCAAAATAAAAGCAATATTCAGATAATTCCAAAGTATTTTGATACTTAGAGTATTCTATACTTCGAATTAGGAAGGTTGTGTACTAATTTGATTAGAATAATATGATGCAATTAAGAATAATATGTAATTGTGAAAAGTAACGTGTTGCTCTTTTTTTCAATAATGACTTGGAAATGATATATTTTACTCGTTAGTAAAAGTAACAATAATGCAATTGCATTTTTTAAACAACGAATATAAAATTCCTTTATTGTTATAAAAAAGTGAAAGAAAAATGACAGAAGCAGTAACTGCTTGTTGCTTCTTGACTAGCACAAAGCATTGAACCAGTATTGAATTTATAGCGGCCCACCATTGGCCAATTAATATGCACTATCAGAGAATTTTGAAGTAATGATAGAGATAATATGTTATTTTTTAATTTTCCCAAGCTAATAATAATACGAATCGAAATATTACATCGTATATATATCATTATTAATTGAGATTGTATGTTACATATTATGTGATTTCATATAATTGCGATTATAATCTCGAATTACGATCGTAATCGATACGTGATCAACAAATAATAACATTGATAATAACATAATTACGCAATCCCTAAGCTAATAATGATATTTAATTATCGTTGGATGCGTTAAAATGTACGGAAATTACGTCTTAATTCAAACACCTTAAATCTAAATCAATAAACTATTTTATTGCTTATTGCTATTTGCTTTATCGTATTAAATTATTTTGTAGTTGAGCGATATATTACGTTATTTCCATAAATTCAGCGATATATCTTACACTATCAGTAACGAGCACAGTGCTACGTTATAACGACGTTATAATGTCATCAAAAAGAAATTATAATTAAGAAATTATAATCGTTAAAAAGAATAAACCTCGGCACTTTCGTCCGATTATTCGTCCTATTCGTGGCATTGATCTTCGTGTGCCTCTGTACATCCACAGAAAAGATTTCTAGTTCCAATGCTATTACTTTTCAATGAAGAATAAAATAAAATCGATATAGAGTCAATCATATTTATCCTTGCAGGGCAAATATTTTAATCTTGAATGAAAATATTTTTAAATCTAAAATAAAATTATCTTGCTGCTAACCTATGAATATTCTCAGATGGATTTAGAAAAAGAAGTTCTTAGAAAAAAGAAATAGTAAAACATCAGGAATCTTAATTATTCTCAATTCAAGATTCTTAACTCAAGATTTTCCTTAACGGAGTAAAATAAAGGCTTTTAAGAGTCAAAGCACAGGTATTGTTTGAGTAATATTTAATTGTGATAGTGTACAATTATTTTGTAACGTTTCAATTATGTTTACATGTAAGATAATTGTGCACGATCATAATTAAATATTAGCTAAATAATACCTGTGCTTTGCTCGTAAAAGTCTTTACTTTAATATTATGTTTATATAGACGAACCTTAAAATGTTTTAATTGTTGAATTACGTTGGTTGTACAATTTTTTATTGTTAAATGAAGTAATGAAATTTATAAATTACAGTACCACCAGTACATTAGCATTATCCAAAGTGTACCACGCGGAGGTTGCTCGATCGGATTTACACCTCTTTCGTGTATATATGTGTGTGTATGTGTAATATTTATATTACGATATAATATTAATCCTCCCGTAACCTACGGAGGACATCCACTTATATTTTTATTAGTTTGCATTGCACTAGGACACTTGTGCCTGAACTCTGATAGGCCCTATATTAACTTCTGATTTATATTAATCTTATCGTAAGACTATATGTCAATTTTATTCTAAAAAGGAGAATAGGAATTATTGATCTAGTCTTAATATTGTCTTATTTTTATCTTATCGCATAGGATTGCGATAAAATTAAATATATGAAGAATACTTTTTTTCTTGTTAATAGAAATCTTTTCCATGGGTGTAGTAAACGTCGATATCACAGCTCATCTATTGTATGCAGCGTGATTATTCACGAATCTTCTTAGATTAATAACTCAAAATTTCACATGATTACTCGCAAAATGGTAGAGAAATTTTTTGTTCAGTTTGACTTAATCTATCTGTATACCGCGGCTCCTCTGTGAGTTACCGGTCTGTATGTGTGTGTGTGTGTGTGTGTGTGTGTGTGTGTATAAATTCTACATACAAAATTCGTATAGCTTTATCAGCTATATATATAGTTGCCATTACTATGTCTTTTTCTCTAAAAAAATGTATGTAATTGGGGATTGGTATTTTTATCTTATCTCGCTGCTTATTTACATACTTATTTATATACTCCAATAAACATGATCATAATATACAAATATCCTAAATATGATGACGTCCCTGATGTTATTAATATATTGTTATGTTTGCTGAGATGAAAGTGCATTGAGATTACATTTATGTACATTTCTTCATCGCACAGCTTTCATCAGCATGGTTATCATGTTCAATTGAGGAAAACAGAATGTATACATATATAATGTAACGCAAATTAATGCTTTCGCCTTTAATTTTCTTTGTGCGGCATTTGCCGAATTGATTTGTCCAGATAGTCGCTACTAAACGATCTTAATGTTTCCTCTAATTGAGATTATATAATATTCAGTACGTAAGCTTGCGATATACTTAGTCGTGTTTATAAATTAGTCCCCACTGATCTCGGTCTCAGAATCGAAGTTGGCGCGTCGCCACGAAAGGCACTTATCAAGTATACCAGAAGACACCGAGAGGAAGACATTGTCAGATATTGTTGAGTGCGAGGGATATGGATAAAAAGTGTGCATTGTCCATCCTATTCATAATAGCATTCATCTCCGTGTGTATCTGTGTTATCCTGATATTTGGCATCCCGAGCGAATCGCGAATTTCCAAGCAGCCACACATCGTCGTTATCATAGCCGATGACCTCGTAAGCAGTTATTGTTTTAATTATTGCAACGAGAAATACTCGGTCCGAGAATAATCTCGGCTCGTAAAACGATCTAACCAGAGTTGGCAAGTAATGCGTTGTAATCATTACAGCACGATAAATATCAACTAATAGTAATATTATATCAATATTATAATTTCCCAACTAACAATGTAACTGTTACATAAAATTCACGTATTGTATTATATTACATTATTGAGTAAGAATTTATAACATTGATGTTATAGTTGGTGTTTACTGGAAAAAGATTTTTTTAGTAGCTTGGTAATGATGTTATTTCCTCTTACTCTCATTAATAATAGCAATGATAACGTGATTATATATTTCGGGTAATGACAACGAATATAATTGTTACTTTTATCGTTACTTCGCATATATAACACATATATTCCATACAATACAAATATATAAAATACATCCTAGGGATGTTCAGATATCTCTGGGATATTTCTAAGATATTACAACATTTGTATGTGCTGTATGGGGTATGTTTACTGATCAGCATCGAATAATGAAAAAAAGTCTTTAAAATTTGGTGAAAAGTGAAACGATATACTTTAAACTTCGGCGGCTTGATGATATGCTTGACCTAGTTTCCGAATTGATTCCGATTGTTTCACGGATTTGTTTTGAACGTTACGTGAACATTACACTTTATTGCTTCTGGAGATTTCTTTAGTAGAGAAATCAATTTGAGTCTCATCCGGAAGTCTGGTCAAATAAAATTGTAGCTACTTGTTATTTTTCAAAAGTATCTTTTCTAACTCTATATATAACGACCCACGATGACGTATGTTTGAATTGAACGAAATCTTTTTATTATTTTTCTGTCATGGAAGATTACTCCTAATGCGGTCAATTTTGAGTTTCCCATTAAATCATTATAACATATATGGACTGACATGCAATATACTTATGAAGAGCCTCATTAGATAAGTTATCGTGTTTTTCCATATCTTCATGATATGGAACATACACTAAGCTAGCTACACTAAGTCATATGTGGAAGATGATGTAAAGAAGAAGGTGGCAGATGAAATTAAGCTTAATTTATTCAATATGCACATAAAGGATTTATAAAAATATAAAATGGTTGTGCATGTGTGTGTTCATGGGAATTTTACGCGATTACTCGATTTGCTACATAAATTGATGCATTTGATTAGCGTATCTATGAAAGACGTTCTCTTTCTCTACTTTTTAATTACGTCGTTCAATAATTAAGGGATGGAACGATGTCGGTTTCCACGGCGCTAACGAGATTCCTACGCCGAACATAGACGCTCTCGCGTACAACGGAGTGATATTGAACAGACATTACGTACTACCAACATGCACACCGTCGAGAGCGGCTTTCTTCACCGGCCGGTACCCTATAAGAACAGGTGATCTATTAATTAACACGATTAACCGCATATGAATAGTGTCGCGTCGTTTCATTTTCCCGCGTGTAATAGCCACCGCGATGTATCTTCAAGACCGTAATGTTCAGATTTTCGGTAGCGATATCTTCTCAAATCACTAGTTTATTTGCAGCAGAGAGGGAAGAGGAAGAAGTTAAATCATCAGTGTTATCACCCAAAAGTCACAGGTCAAGGAAAACTAACTTTTTTTGAGATTCCCACTAAACCATGGACCGGCACGCAATATATTAGGACCTTAACTTAGTTTCCGCCCAAAAAATACTGAGAAAAAGCATTTATTGTAAAAAATTTATTTAAATTATTTCAATGAAAGTATTTTCCATCACTTTCTACAACTTTTTGCCATCTTTCTGGCAACTGGGCGATACCATCTCGATAAAACGATGTTTGTTTCGAAGCAATCCATTCGTCCACCCATTCTCGCACTTCTTCAACATTTCGGAAGCGTGT